GACTCCAACTCAAAAAAAAAAAAACAAAAATCATACAATAAAACACACAAATCTTTTCTAAAGCCTGTATACACATATGTTTTTAAATATCATACAATTTGCTTTACTTTAAACCTTAAATGCTATTTTGTAGATGTTTCCAGTCAGTACATACAAAGCTACCACTTTCTTTGAACAATTGTGTAGTGTTCCATAGTATAGATGTCATGATTTGTATATTCTCATATTGATAGTTTCAGGGAGTTTTCTCTCTCATTTTTCATGGTTATACAAAGTGCTACAATGAGTGTCCTTCTTTGAAAACTTGTGCTGGGATCTCCATGAGGTTGATTCCTAAGTCCAATATCTCCAATAAAAAACAAGAAAATGAAGGTTCAGGGGGTTAACTAATGGGTTAACCCTCTGAAAAAATCCATTAGGATGTTGTTGGGTTTTGTTTGAACAAAACAATTGTTGATGTCGACCGGCCATCAAGAACCTGATCCTTTGAATGTATCTTAGTGGGGCTGCAACCAGTAGGTGGCGCTAAAGGAGACCTCCAAGCTCTCGACCCAGACTGGGAGGGGAGGTACAGAGGGGCTTCCCCAGGGCCAGGAGGCTAGATGAAGGGTGAATGGAGAGACCAAGAGATCACCGCCCCCATAACACATGGACTTGAGCTTCGTGAGATTGGCCTGCTCTTCACTTTTCTCTGCTCCCTCCACATTACAGGAGGCCACAAAGGCTCTGGACACGTAGGAGCTACAGGGCATCCCAAAGCTATTATGCTCATCAGCACACAGGGCTGATATGCTGGGTCCCATGCTGGTGCTGAGGACACATGAAGGGACACTGTAACTGTCCTGTAGAGGTGACAGTCACAGGAAGCAACCGGGGAACATCCTGGCTTCCCAACCCCTCCCTTCCCACCCTCACCGCGCACCAAGCCCCATCATTTCTATGTCTCCCTATGTCTCTTGAATGCCCAATCACTGCTCTACTCGTCCACTGCCCCTGATCAAGTTCAGCCACCACCCTTTCACCTGGACAGCTGCAATATCCTCCTCCTGGTTGGTCTTCTCCATCCTCCCCTTCAATCTGCTGCTACATGGGGACTAGTGACTTTTCTGTCTAAAGGCAATACCTCCTCACTCACTACTAAACATCCACAAAGATAGAATTCTGTTATGGCATTCGATGCTCTTTGATATCTGACTTTTAACATTCCTGCATTTTCTCCTGCTGCATATTGAGCCCACCTATAGTTCTGCTCTCTCACGCCTCTAAGCTTTTGCACACGCTATTCCCTCTGCCTGAATTTCCATGAAGGGATGGACTGACCGCCCTGTACCTTCGCAGGAAATGGGAAGGCGGAGACCCAGGCGTAGCCCACCAGAAGACCCCGACCTGCCTGCTGCTGACCCCGGAGGGCGCTTTTCATAGCTTTGGCTACACCGCCCGCGATTACTACCACGACCTGGACCCCGAGGAAGCGCGGGACTGGCTCTATTTCGAGAAGTTCAAGATGAAGATCCACAGTGCCACTGTGAGTCACAATTTGGCATGGGGCAGGGCTCCCGCCAGGGAAGCGAAACCAGGATGGGAAAGGGTAGGGCTAAGGAGGGGGGGCAAAGCTCAAAGGCATGAGAAAGTATCTGAATGGAGGTGTGGCTAGAGGAGGGAGAGGGTCCCCCAGAGTGGGCGGGGCTCAAGTGAGAAGGGTGGGGGCGGGGCTGAGATGGGCGGGGCTAAGAAAGGGTGACGGTGGGGTTAGAGGAGGGGTGAAGCTAAGGAGAGGGGCTGAGGCTGGGAACAGCTGACGTGAGATGGGGAGAGGGTGGGGGATGCTAAAGAGGAGGGGAAGCTCCAGGAAATTGAGTGATTTTAAGAGACAAGTGGTCAGGAAATGGGGGCACAGCTAAGGCCTCCTGCAGAGCCAACCTGTATCCCTACCAGGATCTCACCTTGAAGACCCAGCTAGAAGCCGTAAATGGAAAGAAGATGCCCGCCCTGGAGGTGTTCGCCCATGCCCTGCGCTTCTTCAGGGAGCACGCCCTTCAGGTGCACAGTGGCCCCACCCCTGCTGACTGGGGTTGGGGACCCCTGGGCCCTTCTACCTCTTTTCTTTCCCCTTCATCCCATTCCTCCAGTCTCCTGCCTCCCCCTCCATCCAGCGGGTAACCACTGCCAGAGATCACAGGTCATCTACTCCAGTCGCCTTCACCAGGCCATACAAGAAGGGGGTGTGGAATCTTCCAGCTCAGCTAGGAAGTCCTTCCTGTGGTTTGGTTAGTTCCTTCAGTTCCCACAGAGGGCTGAAGACCCAGCCAAGCCAGCTGTTCGCTCACTGCCCTGTCCTGCACCAGGAGCTGAGAGAGCAGTGCCCATCTCAAGAGAAAGACACTGTGCGCTGGGTGTTGACGGTACCTGCCATCTGGAAACAGCCAGCCAAGCAGTTCATGAGGGAGGCTGCCTACCTGGTGAGAATGTGCTGGCTGGGCAGAGAACACTGCTCAGGAAGGCCCCATACCCTCATTCCCCCTGCCACCCTTGGGACCAGAGTCATTGTCTAGAGACCTCCACCTAGGAACTTTGGAGGCTTGTTGCCACCAGGAGAGAGGGAGTAGGCCTGCAGGAACAGGGGACAGATGGGTCACAGGCAGGGCCCAGGCCAGTGGAGACAGTGTCTTAAGTTAGGTTTCCTAAAAGCAGAGCCCAAGATGAACAGTCTTATGCATGTGGAGTAAGGGTTCTCAGGAGATATGGGAGGGAGGGAACCAGGACAAGACGATGAGGTAAGCAAGGATGTGGTCTTTTGGCTGGAGTCTAGCTGAGCTCAGCCCCACCCCCTGGGGAGCTGCAGTGGGAGAATTATGGCACAGAGTAGGGCTGCCTTCTTTTTTTTTTTTTTCTGAGTTGGAGTCTCACTCTGTCGCCCAGACTGGAGTGCAGTGGCCGCTCCCGGCCACCGCAGCCTCGACCTGCTGGGCTCTGGCGATCCTTCCG